TTCATCAGTGTCCTTGGTAACAATGAAGCAGTCGTCGACTTCTTGAGAAGAATTCTAAGAAGAAAGTAAACCTACAGACATCGGTCTTGTTTAACAAAATCTGCCATATATATATAACAACAACCAGGAAAAAACTATAGAAATGCAAAATATTTGCGTAAGATTAGGAATGGATTGGGAAACAGCGATCAAAAACATAAAGAGATGTGCCTGTTAATTGTGAGATTGTCTGATTTTATTAATAAAGCTTCTCTGATTTTTCTTCTGTTAATGTCAAGTTCATGTTTTAGTACTGTGGCATTCTATTCAGAAAAACTCTGTTTGTTTTAATTTATGTGCTCATGGACTTGGGAAGGGGTTTTTTGGTGTTATTTTAACCTGATCAAGTTACGTCCTGTTTCGCTTATGTAAAAGGCTGTGCAATTGTTACACTTTATTTTGTAAATGTTTCCTGTGTTTAATTTTCATTCCAGGTATGACAACGGATCTAGGCGTTATGATAAGTTTATATTTATGTGCTATTCTTTTCGAAATTCCTGATAGAGGTACGCTAATATTTTTTATGTATAGGATAGTGCAAGTGATTAGGCCTTTCCAAAGGATCGTTTGACTACCCCATCATTAATACATAAAAACAACTACTTTAATTGGAAGCTAAACTATCAAACGAAATTTAGATAAAAAGCTTGAAAAACTTCACCTGTCAGTACAATCGAAAAAACAGAACCAGACACTGTAAAGAACAATATAATCAACCTCACGAACTTCTAACTTGGTGAATTTCAAACCGCAGCCTTAAATAGTGGTTTTAACCACACAGTAACTCCTCCAATCATTCCAGTGTTAGATTTTAAAACCAGCCTTTAAAACCTCTACAGGAAAGAAATAATAGACGCAATCACAAATCCAATCAACAGCAACTAATCCCAAGTCAAAGACCACAAGAAAAATTCGCGTTTAATTCAGTTCATGAAAACGAAGAATAATCAGAAATATTCAACATTCCAAAAATTATGAACAATTTAATGAGCAATTTTTTTACCAAACCAAAAGCAAGTCAATTAAAAATTTCTAGGATGAATTTAGTGAAACACTTAAAAAAAAAAAAAAGAAGCCTGTAAACAAAATTTGACATCAGCAGAAAGAAAAGGCCTGAAACTTGTTATAGACAATGTTATTCAAAGAGCCGATAAAGGAAACTCGATCCTGATTTTAACAACCAAACAGTATGATTCCTTAATGATAAATATATTGAATGATACGTCTAAGTTTACTCAGTCAGATACTGACCTTAACCGAACATAAAACAAAAAATGAGCAAACTACTCAAAATATTATTAAAAGAAAAAAATATTACCATTAAACTTTATAATTTGTTGCACACAAACCAGCTTGGAAAACCATAAATTTACGGTTTATCAAATATCCATAAAAGCCCAATAACTTTATACTCAATTATGTATTTTTATAACTCTTTTAAACTACAACCTTGATAAATACTTTAACTGTATTTTAGAATCTTATGCTTCCAAAATAAACACCCAATTGAAGAAAAACGAAAAACACTTCACACCTTTTATAACAAGTACATAGTTTAAACAATGACGTCAACACTCCTAGCTTTGACATCGTAAACCTATTCCCTCAAACCCTCGTCATGAAACAATAAAACTCACTGCAAAAATTATTTCACAAGACCCCCAAAAAGAGAATCAACATAAAACAGGAACACTTAATCGAAATGTTACAACTAGCCACATTTATTTGCTTTCAATACAGAGATTCGTGCTTCCTTCAGTTACTCGGAATCCATTATAAGGCACTTTGGCCACTCTTTTCTTACATCACATAGAATAGCATGCCATAGTCACTTGTATGTATAAGCCTGCATTTTGGCTTAGATATGTAGATGACATTTTTTGCGGCTTTACTTGTCAAGATGCGCAGACAAAATTCCTCCAATACATAAACAACCTACATAAAAACATACAATTCACAATGGAAAATGAAAATAACAATACGATAATTTTTTTAAACGTTAATAACATACGAACCCCCCAAGGCTTCACCACTAAAATTCATAGAAGAAATACACACAACGGAAATTACATAAACTGGTTTTCTAGTCATGTAATCCACAAGAAGCAAGGCACTCTAAAAAGCTTCCTCAATTTAGCATACACTATATGCATAACAGAAAACATTGATAAAGAAATTGAGCCTGAACTCAATGCTTTACTAACGTTAATCAGTTCCCTACTAAATTAGTTAGAGAAACTGTTAACAAATTTAAAAAACACACACAAGAGGTGTTGAAAAAAACAAACAAATTCGAACACTCCACGAAATAAAGGAAATCTAATCACTTGCACTGTTCTGTACATAGAAAATATTAGCGTACCTCTATCAGAAGTTTCGTAAATATACCCTTAACGTAACGCCTAGATTCATTTTCACTCCTGGAATGAAAATTAAACACGCTTAAAGAAAATTTTATAACTAACCACCCCACCAGGAAACATTTACAAAATAAAGTGTAACAGTTGCACAGCCTTTTATATAGGTGAAACAGGACGTAACACCCCAAAACCTCTTCACAAGTCCATGAGCATATGGACTAAAACAAACAGTTTTTCTGAACAGAATGTCACAGTACTAAAACATGAACCTGACATTAACAGAAGAAAAATCAGAGAAGCTTTATTAATAAAATCAAACAATCCCACAATTAACAGACACATCTCTTTATGTCTTTGATCGCTATTTTTCAACCCATTCCAAATTTTACGTAAATATTTTTTATAACATGTTCTATAGTTTTTTCCTGGTTGTTGTTATGTACGTTCACTTTTGTTTTCTATTTAGCCATAAATAAATAATCTGCCAATTCGCGTGGATTATTGTGTACATGCATAAGTAACCACTATAAATTCTAGAATATAAAAACATTGTTAGATTGTTGAATGTTGATTTATTTTAGAAATATTCTATTTTCATTGTTCCAATACTCAATATTTCAATACAAATATATATTTTGATTTTAAAGGTCTTATCTTTGTCCAATAACGCAAAATTTAAACGTTAAGGTTCTTGTAATTACATAATATAACATAGAATTTATGGACAACAAGCCTGCTTTTTCTGAGTGTGTTTTGGAGTACAGAAGTAAGAGCATGTAAGAGTTTTAATTCTTCTGAATTTTGCCACTGATTATTGTTTTGTGAAGCCTGAAATATAAATGAATCGAGTTTGATGGCCTCTAAATGACACTATTATTGTTATGCGATGTTACAAATGTATTTCATGTAGTTGCCAGTGGTGAGTGTGACGGATTTATTATTATATATTTATTCTAATATCGATGTTTGTTTAAATTAAATTTATATTTAGAAATGTACATAACTTATACAGTTAAATAAGTATTGCGAAACTCCAGCCTATTTTCTAAATTTGAAAAAAATTCTCGAGTGTAAGAATCAACAATATATGTGTGTACATAAACGCTAGTGTTAGCGTTAGTATTATTACGTAAAACTGAAATTTTGAGAAACTCTCCACACACCTGTAAATATAACCAACGCGATGAGCCAAAAAACACTATCTGTTATTGGTTTGCTATAGTTGGTATACCATAAACTTTGAAAGCTATATATGCGATTAACGCTTATTAATTGGAAAAGTTCAG